GGTTAAAAAAGTGTACCAGTTCCCCTACACCATCCATCATGTAAAAAACACAGCTCTAAAGTGAAAATAAACACTGTTTTAATGAGAACTGGTTTTAACAGTTCATAGAGTAACTCCAAGTATCTCTTTACCTATCATTTTATGTCAGTGCTATCACTACCAGATAAGGAGAAGATAAAAAAAAATATAAACATGCATTGAAGTAGTAAGCCAGACCTCAGCTGGGATGTTACTGCATATCCTTCTCCCTGTAACGCCCCATAGCAACTGCTCCAAAAGGCACAGAGGAGCTAAAGTGGTTTTTAAAAAACAAACCAAAAAACAACACAAAAAGCAATTAGAAAATTCCCAAGCACCCAGAATCTGAAAGAAATAGTGCACAGTGTAACAAGGCAGGCTTAACTTGCTGCTGTTTTCTTAAATGTGCAGCATAATTAAAAATAAAAGAAAGCTGCTACTGTAAACATCTGCCCAGCCACACTAAGCAGCAGGAACTCAGCTGAGGGCCAGCAGGCATCAAGTGGGAGAGGGAACAAGCTTGGCCCTGTGCAAGTAACTGTGCCTGTTACAAGAATGGTGTGTGGTGCTAGGGCAACTGCAGCAGTTCCTGCAGCAACCTTATTTAAGTAATAGCAGCACAAACGCAGCAAAAGTGTCACCTGAATAAGGACAAAACCCCCTCTGTCTGTAGCTCTTCAAAAAGAGAATAGCCACTTCGCATGCATCTTAGCCAACATGGAAATAGTCCCTGAGGCCAACAGTTACAGGCAAGTTGACTTCAACCAAGGAAGTTAACCTATATGCCTCTCAGGGAGGGGCATTAAAACTTTGAACGATCTTAGAGCCAGATAATAGTTTGATACAGATTGTGTGTCTTAACATTCATTGTGCTGCCACAGAACCTGTTACATCTCAGCAGCTGTGGAAGATAGTTTTCAATACCGATTCTGCATTAAGATTGGTCCCTGTAACAACATCAGAAGGGAAAAAGCGTTCTTCTGCAGTGGAAAACAAAGCTTTCCTTGTTGCTTGGTTACCCTAGGCTCTGTTCAGTTCTTGCAGTAATCTTAGTGCAGCTGTGTTCTTTGGTTCAGTTTTCAACAAGCTCTTGATATCGGCAATACTTGATCTGTAATCCTAGAAGGAAAGTATTTTTTAAATGTTAGTACATTGAAAATGCAGTTCAAGGCTCTTGCTGCAGAATTACTACCCTGCAACACAACTAAGCCCCTGACTTCCTCTCTATACTTGCTTAAGCACTGGCATCGATGTAGCTGTTCTAAAATGCGCTTAAACTAGGGCTGAGAATACAATTTCATCACTCAAGTGGGTTCTGAGTCCAATGCCAATGCAGTAAGTCTTCCAGTACTGTCTAGAGAATCTCTCACCAGACATGAAAAGATAAAGCTCAACACAACACATAGCTGCTTCCAGCACGTCCAGAAACAGGACCTGGTCCTGAGAAACTCATGAGATCCAACCAGCAAATAGCAATGTGAAAGAAACCACCCCCCTCAGTCCACACAGGTCTCAGTTACCTGATGGCAGATGTTGTCTAGCACAGAAACGAGTTCTAAATGGCATCTCTTGCCCTGATCGTGCATGAACAGGCTTCTAGTCCTAGCCTAAAAATGTTCAAAACTCCTGACTGACTTACCTTCAGCTCTTTAAGTGCTTGAGCACGTCTGTAGAGTGCCTTAACATTTTTAGGATCTAACCTCAGAGCTTCTGTGCAGTCCTGTACCGCTTCCTTGTATTGCTTCAGCGTCAGGTAACAGAGAGCTCTGCAATACAGATACCTGGTTAGAGACCTTTGGCTAAAAGCAGCATCTGCTGCTGGAACATCCATAGCGGATCTCAGCCAAACTCAGCGCACCGCAAAGCTGGACTCCAAAACCAGTCTTTATCCTCGTACGTTATGTCATCTTGAGCTCAAGTTTGTTTCAGTTAAAAGGAGGGGAAAAAAGAGGAGGGTTTTTAGAGCAACCTGCTCTAAAGCTAAGAACTTGCACTTCAAGGATGCAGGTTCCTATCTATACCAGTCCAGAATATGCTCTGCTTGCTGCAATTGCCTTAGAAGTACTTTGAGTCTTTAAGTATAGCAGTCTGCAATTTGTGGTTCATGGGGCAGCAGACACTACTCAAAATAAGAGTCCTGGCAGACAAGCATTAAAGGGAGAAATCCCTTAGCAGCCCTAAGATGAGTGTCTCCAAGGGTTTTTGCAGGACCTGATCAAAGGACATTATACAAACTACAGGGAAGACTGCACTTGGGGTGAACATGTGTGGGCGTTTTTGTTTTATTCATTTGTTTGGGAGCAAACATTAGACAGCTCTGTCAGAAATACCACAGTGGGTTTTATAAAGGGCCAAGAAGTACTTGGGCAACGAGCTGAGTAGTAGTACCTGTTGGTGTAAGTCGCACATTCCTGGCGGAGCTTTAAACTCTCACTGTACTTCTCAACTGCTTTTTTATGGTTTCCTTTCTTTACAAGTTCATTTCCTTCTTCCTTCAGAGACTGAGCTCTCTCCGTGCCAGCACCACTCTGATCTGGGAACAGCGTGAAAGAATACAGAACACTATAAAACTGACAAGATCAGTGCAGCCTCTCAGAAAGCAAATATCCCCATACCAGAGGCAAGAGACATCAAAGGATCCACGATTGGCCAAAAAGGCTGTGGCAGAACCAGGCCCAGGTTTCTCCAGGCCTCAGCCCCAGCTGCAGACATGCCAAGCAGGCGTGGCAGCTGTCTTGTTCATCACCCTTCTGAGCTACAGGGCTCTGTGCCTGACCCAAGGGCATTGCTCTCACCTGGTTCTCCCCGCAGTGCAGTTGCAGGAGGAGCGTTTGCCCCAGGGGCTTCGGCAGAAGGAACGCTCCACCTCGTCTGGGCAGAAAGGGGCACTGTGGGGATTGGCGGAAGCTTCTGGCGCCAGTTCACGCCATCCTTCTCCAGCAGGGCTTTAGTCATCCTGGAAGAGATGGCTGGCAGTCACCCCATCTGTTGGCTGGATGGGCCACGCAGTAGCCAGTAGGGTCACTTTTTAACCTGGCTTGTGTATTGAGGACAGCATCTCTCCACTAAACCCTTTACATGCATCTTAACTAAGTTCCTGCTACAGCCAGGACGTTAGTGAAAGGACCTTTGTGGTGGCAGGGCTAGAACTATCATAGGACAAGAGGTGGGACTGTCAGTACTCGGGTGAGCAAGAGATGTGCATGATGCTCCTCAGTCTGGCAAACGATAAAGTGAAGCAGACAGCTCCAGAAAGAGAAAAGGACTACTACAGCAGCCCGTAAACCCAGCCAGCATAGGGAGCCTTAAAGGACAGGGCATGGGACCTTGTAGTTTATTACTTCCTTTAAACCAGGCACTGAGCAAAGCAGAAACAGTCCCGGGTCATTCGTTCCTAGCCCTCACCCAGCACCCTGAAAGGAGCTAAGGGTGCCAGCAGACAAAGGGAGAGCACGCAAAGCATCACAGGCCTCGCTTGCCTCGTTCATGTGCTTGGGCCCCAGCTCCCTCCTGCCACGGTTGCAGAAACACCCCGAGGCTCGCAGCAGCTAACCGAGCCGCTGTATTCCCAAACCTTTCCCTACGACCCGCCGAGAGCACAGGCCGTAGCCTCACCTGTTGACGCCGTCGTGTGCCGCCTGTATGGAGCAGTCCACCTGCAGCGCCGTCTTGTAGTCCACGTAGGCCAGCTGGTACCTCTCCAGGGCCTCGTAGGCGGCGGCCCGCCTGAGGAGGGGTTTGATCCCGAAGGGGACCAGGTCGAGGGCGCTGCGACAGAGCGGACAGAGATGCCCGGGGCGGCGTCAGCCCGGGGCGGGCGGGCGGCCTCCGGGGTGGGGGGGAGGCCGCGGAGGGACGGCGCGGCCGGCGCAGGCCGAGGTCGCCCCGGGGCTGTCACCGTCCCTGCCTCGCCTCCCACCCCTAACCTAACGGTGGGGAAAGCAAGCGAACGAGCCCTCGGGCCCCGCCGCCCCCGGCCCCGCCGCCGCTCACCCGCTGCAGTCGGCGACGCAGAGGCTGCAGGCGCCTTCCTTGAGGTGGCAGGCGGCGCGGTTGGCGAGCAGCACGCTCCGTTCCTCGGCGGCGGCCTCCCCTGCGCCGGGACACGAGCGGGAGAGGTGTTCAGCCGGCGTCCGCCC